AACTGCAAAAACAAAAGAAAAAAATACAATTGTTCTTGAACCAAAATAGTTTGCATTATCCTCAGTTTCCATGGCATAGGACTGTGTAATAAGTTAAGAAGTATTATAACAAGGCCAAGCATTGTGTCTCATGCCTGTATCCTAGCACTGTGGGAGGCCAAGGCAGGAGGATCACTTGAGCTTAGGAGTTCCAGACCAGCCTGAGCAAGACAGTGAGGCAGTCTCTACTAAAAAAAAGAAAAATTAGCCAGGTAGAGTGGTGCTTGCCTGTAGTCCCAGCTTCTTGGGAGGTTGAGGCAAGAGGATGGCTTGAGGCCAACCTCCTCCCATGTAAGTTTAATTTGAGTCTACTCAGTACCTTGAATGTGGCAGGTCCTCAGTAGGTGTTGATTTACTGATGACTGACCACCACTAAATTCTATGCTAAAATAAGGCAGGATCTAGGGAGACTTTAGCTTCCTTAAAAGCTCATCTGGGGCAGAAGTTACAAGTTACACTAGGCATTAAGGAAGACAGCTGGAAAATTACTAATCGATAGTCTCTCACTTAAACTTGATTTTCTAATAACTAAATTGGGAAATCTTTTTTAAAAGGTATGCACTGAGTGCAGTGGCTTACACCTATAATCCCAGTTCTTTGGGAGGCCAAAGCAAGAGGATTGCTTAAGGCTGGGAGTTTGAGACCAGCCTGGCAATATAGTAAGACCCTGTCTCTACAAAATATAAAAAACTTGGCCAGGCATGGTGGTGTGTGCCTGGAGTCCCAGCTACTTCTGACGCTAAGGTGGGAGGATTGCCTGAGCTCAGGCATTTGAGGTTGTAGAGAGCTGGGATTCAGCCAACAGCCTGGGTGAAAGAGCAAGACCCTGTCCCTAAAACAAAAAGTAATCATTAATTGTATTTGACGATTTTTATTCCAAAGGGCCTTCTACAATATCCAGAAACTCATTTCTGAGTCTAGAAGTTCTCCAAGAAGTATTTGTATGTGATGGTGAAACATTGAGATGTGTGGCATAACCATACTGTCTAATGAAAAAGGACAAAAAAAGTTTAAATTTCATTCAGGCAAGAGTTGAAGAAGTGGTTGTGATTGTATGTGGAGTGAATTGACAGTTACTGTTACAGCCAAACCTAACTTTTTCTTCAAATCTGGATTTGATTTCATAACCTCACAAGTCTACTAAGGCAACAGTAAAGTGGACATCTGGTCTACCTACTTGTAATATGCACCACACTTAGTGGACTTTTATAGTGTGAACTTTTGATTTGATGGCATATTTTTACTAATTTTTTCCTAGATGTGTACAAACAAACTTTTAAGTCATAACATGAACAAAGTTCATCAAGTAAGTAATGAGAGTAGATTTCTTGATACACCTCAAGTGGTTCTTGCTAACGTATACATTTTTCCCCTCTAAAACACCATGTTCATGATTATGAGTACAGTGGCTCACCCCTGTAATCCCAGGACTTTTTTTTTTTTTTTTTTTTTTTGCAGTTTTTGGCCGGGGCTGGGTTTGAAGCCACCACCTCTGGCATATGGGGCTGGCACCCTAGTTCTTTGAGCCACAGGCACTGCCCCACATAATCCCAGCACTTTAAGATGCTGAGGCAGAAGGATCACTTGATCTCAAGAATTTCAGGCTGTGGTGAGCTATGGTGAGGTCACTGACTTCTTGAAAGCCTCCTTATTTTGATGATTTTCCTTTGATTAGCAGGGCTCTCAACAATGTAGGTAGACTCATCAAGAAATGAAAGACAAGTAATAAGACAAGTGTCTCTGCTAAAACACAGTATATTCATTCCTGAAACATCTTGTGCTCTACATTAAAAAACATGGTCCGGGTAGAACAGGCCAGTTAAGCAACTTTGTATCCAGCACAATAACCGCCTGGACCACTCAGGTCAGCAGCCTGGATGTTTGCAAGTTTCCTCAGAAGTTTTTATAATGAGGAAATAACGATTATTTCAGGGAAGGGCTGAGGGTGCCAACGTGGCACATACAGGAGCTGAGCTCCAAGCCCTGGTGACACAAAAGGTGTTACCATGCCAGGAGCCAAGAGCTCTGTAAGGCTAGTGGGTGGCCTAGGTGCAGGTGCTTTTATTTTTTTCTAAATATCCCCAAACATTTATCCCCAGCTAAATGTTTTTACCTTTACTCCCCAGCATTAGGCTATCCTTGGTGGAGAAGATCACAGGACATGGCTTTCAATTTCCTTCCATGTTATTAATGACATTTCTGTCATTCATGACACAGAAACATGTGGGCACAACGTAGGTTGTACTGTTTTATTTAAAATTCACATAGCAATAAGCTACAGAGGGCAGAGTACATAGGGGGCTTCGGTGAACGGGAAAATATAGTTGGCTGACTCTGGTAAGAGTAAAATATATCTTTTCTTTTTTTCATAAGAGAGGTTATCTTGTATTATTTATTCTTTGTTTTATGTAGAGTTGGTTTCTCAGTGAAATATAAACCATTAATAAGTTAGTAAATTGTCTTTAAGTCTTTTTTTCTTTTAATTTCAATAGATTTAGAGGTACTGTTGGTGTTTTGCTCCATGAATGAATTGTATAGTGATAAAGTCAGGGCTTTCAGTGCACCTGCCACCCAAATAATATACCTTGTCCTTAGTAGGTAGTCTCCTGATCCCGTCACCTCCTCCCTACTCAGTCTCTCAGGTGTCTTATACTACTCTGTGTGACATGTATACTCATTGTTCAGGTCCCACACGTGAGTACATGGAGTATTTGTTTTACCATTCCTGAGATACTTCAAATAGGATTGTGGATTCTAGTTCCATCCAAGTTTGTGCAAAAGATACTTCGTTCTCTTTCTATGGCTGAGTAGTATTTCGTGATATATTTGTGCCACATTTTCTTTATCCACTCACCAGTTGATAGGCACTCAGGTTGATGCCATATCTTTGCAACTGTGAATTCTGCTGTGATAAGAGTGCATCCACCTCTTTGATGTAAGGACTGCCTTTCCTTTGGGAAGAAACCCAGTAGCGGATTTGCTGGAACAAATGGCAGGTGTACTTTCGGGTCTCTGAGGAATCTCCATACTGTTTTTCATAGTGCCTGTACTAATTCACATTCCCACCAACAATGAATAAGCCTTTCATTTTCACCACATACATGCCAACATTGGTTTTTTTCTTGATTTGAGTTCCTTGTACATTCTGAGTATTAGTCCCTTGTTGGTTGTATACTTTGAGAATATTTTCTCCCATTTTGTAGGTTTGTTTTTTTTGTTTGTTTTTTTAGGCAGTTTTTGGCCAGGGCTGGGTTTGAACCCACCACCTCTGGCATATGGGGCCAGTGCCCCACTCCTTTGAGCCATAGGCGCCCCATTTTGTAGGTTGTCTATACACTGCTGGTATTTCCTTTGCCATGTAGAAACTTTGAGTCATGTTTATCTTTATTGTATTTGCTTTCGAGGTCTTAGTCATACATGTGTTGCTTCTTCTCACATTTTCCTCTAGTTTTTATGGTGTCAGGTATTAAATTTAATCCATCTTGGATTTTTTGTGCATGGTGAGAGATGGGATCCAGTTTCCCTCTGCATGTGGCTCTCTAGTTTTCCCAGCACCGTTTACTGAACAGGACATCCTTTCCCCAGTATGTGTTTTGTCTGTTTTGTTGACAGTCAGCTGGGCGTAGCTGTACAGTCCCATGTCTGGGTTTCTGGTGCAGAGTGTGTGTCCCACCTCCTTCTGTCCTACAAAGCATTCCAAGGACTTCTAAGTCCCCTGAGGGCAGCCCGACACACAGCAGGACTTCTGGAACAGTGCTCCCCTCCTGTGTCTCCCTGCTCCTGTTTGTCACAGTCCACGCAGGTGCTGGGGGATGTTTCTATGGTATCCTGACACAGGGAGCTGGAGGGCCTGTGACTTCCCTAGTTGGACAGAGACACCTGCTGTGTGCAGGCCTGAGATCCTGGAGAGAGGAGATGACCCTTCCGGGTCCCTGGCCCTGTGCTCTCTTCCTAAGAAGTTCCCAGTTTGCTGTTGGCAGCAGCACCTGCACTTCCCTGGTCAGAAGCTCTCTCCAACCAGGAGCTGGCAAACCATTCAGGTGTGAGGGAGGAAAGGAAAAGACTCCCACCTCCTCTCCCACTTGCCTTGGGGGTTGATCTCCACCAAAATTTGCTCCTTCTTATTCTGCTCCTCCACTTCTCTGGTGGGATCCAGTGAGGGGAGGTTCTGGCTCCTTTCCCTCAGTATTTCACCTGCGCTAGACTTTCTCATCAGAAATGTCTTCCTCCATTTAGGCTGATCCTGCCTACCTGACATGAGTTTTTCCAATACCGTCAATAAAAGGGGAAGGAAACCCGTTTTTGAGACTTTCTTTTTGAAATAAGGTTACAGTTAAGGTTACTTTTCCCCACCTTTGAGGCCCACAAATTTCTGGTAATTATGAGGTGCCATGCAATTTTGCTCACATAATTAAGACCTGTTTAGGTCCTCTGCTTTAAAACCCAAAGTGAATAACTTTAAATGAGTCAAGAAAGTTACATTATAATATATTGGAAAGATACCAATTTTCTTAAATCGAATTTTGCTAATTTGGAACAGAATTATCCAAACATACCTTAACAGCAACCAATTTAACCATGTTTTTAAAATAAAGGGAGAGACATGCAGGGAGAGAGGAAATCTAGAGGGCCAAGTTCATGACTGCAGTGTATACAAACTTGTGAGTTTTGGGGGGGTGGGTGGGTTGTAGTTTTTGGCCAGGGCTGGGTTTGAACCTGCCAACCTGCATACGGGGCCAGTGCCCTACTCCTTTGAGCCAGGCACCACCCCAAACTTGTGTTTTTGTCAACTGACCTTACCTACAGTGAAATGATTTTATATCAAGAATCTTGGTAAGGAAAAACAATGATGGTTGCAATAAAACCACCACCTAGAAATACATAACCCTTTAACATTCCTGACAATTGATTCTTAGCATGCACATAAAGCACTTAAATAAAACTCATCATAGACGCAAATATTAGGTAAATAATTTAATGACGATAAGACACTCAAATTTCTTCAAACACAACATTTCAAATTATTATATTTTTGTCTGGAGTACAGATCTGAAAATGGTACAAACTGTACCCAAATATTAAACCATGAATTAACCAAACAGAAAGAAATAATTCTCCTGAATTAGGTTTCCATTCTTCACTCCCACTTGCCTCTAACTATTGCTCATTGAGAATATTTAATTAAATCTTTAGTGGAGGACCTGTGATAAGATCTGCTAACATGGCTAATGTGACCCATCCTGGGCCCCAGGCAGGGTACCATGGATGCTGAAATGGTTTGCTTCTTGGTGGAAGCCAGCCCTATTTTCCATTTTGCTTCAGTCTAGGCCTGTTGAAATGAAATACCTCTCAGTAGCTACTGACCAGTTCAGTATGGAGAGAAAAGCAAAGTACAGAAATGATTTTCTCTTAGAGAAAAAGCAAATGGAAGACACCAACCATAACTGTGGAGCACAACAGCCAGGAGAGGGGAGGAATCCCCTCCCCAAAAGTCCCCTGTTTGTCAGCCTCTCACTTCCCTGACCCTCTATGCTTCAGGCACTATGCCTAAAGGTGCCACAGTGACTTCACAGAAAACATCAAGTTTAAGAAACTGGAGGTTCTGCACAACATTTATATTCTGTCTATAGAAATACACACACATGGTATGGACTGTTGTTAAGACGGTTGGCCTGCTTGCCATCAGCACTGCAGGCTGCTGAAGGAGACTTTTTATTGAGAGACCCTGCTGGTCTTGGAGCAGCACAGGATGATGAGGCTGACTTTAGTAGTAAAAGAAATGATCCTCTTATGGCCAAAGAACAGCTGCCCATCCCAAGTCTACAGGGATCAAATTAACTGTGGAGTTTGGTTGGTTTTTTAAGTCAGTGAATACATACATACATGCAGTGTAGTTTAATAAAATTGCTTTTCTTATGTCTCATTGTTTCATAAGTCACATCTCATATACAGTCATTAAAACTCACTGTATAAGGTCCCAACACTGTAAAAGCAAGGCAAGGAATTAGGGATCCCAAGGTAAATTTGAGAATGGGGCAAGTCTGACATTATGCACTGTGTAGTACAGGCACTGAGTGCTTTCTAGTTGTATCTGAGAGGGGAGGACTTCACGCATAAGTACTGTCACTTAATCACCAAAGAGGAACAAAGGCTTCTCTTGGCTTTGGCACCTTCTATTCCTTGGAAAGGCATCTGACTGAGGGATCCAAAGTGGATTGATAGTGCTAGATGGGCCAACAGGACCCAGAAATAGAAATTAAAAGCTGCTGTCAGTCACATGGGTCCTCATCAACACACAGCAGCACCACCAATACCTTCAGGCCTTTCCTCAATCTAAAGCCCAGCAAGAGGGGAAGCTCTTTAGGAGAGAAGAAAGAGAGCTGTTAAAGGCCATGCTCTTTTGCAAAGGCCTGATTTTCTAGGCCTATGGTTCCCAATGCCCAAACTGCAGACCAGTACTGGTCTGTGGCCTGTTAGGCAGTGGGCCACAGAACTAGTGAGGAGTGGCAGGCAGGCAGGCAAAGATTCACCTGTATTTTTTTTTTTTTTTTTTTGAGACAGAGCCTCAAGCTGTCCCCCTGGGTAGAGTGCCGTGGCATTACAGCTCACAGCAACCTCCAACTCCTGGGCTCAAGCGAGTCTCCTGCCTCCGCCTCCCAAGTAGCTGGGACCACAGGCGCCTGCCACAACGCCCGGCTATTTTTTGGTTGCAGCCGTCATTGTTGTTTGGCGGGTTCGGGCTGGGGATTCGAACCCACCACCTTAGGTGTACGTGGCTGGCGCCTTAGCCAGTTGAGCTATAGGCGCTGAGCCAGATTCACCTGTATTTACAGCTGCTCCCTATTACTCATATCACTGCCTAAGCTCCCCTGACTTCACTCCCTTCAGCTCTCCCTGATCACATCCACAAGACCACACGTAGCTATATTGTCAGTGCGGAATGTGATTCCACCTCAAAAATGAATGGCACTAATTTAAGAGTAGAGCATCTTGGGAAAATCCAGGACACCTATTCTGACACTTTAGAATGTGGAAACCATACCAGTATGCAAGTATATTTATTCTCTAAAAGTCTAAAGGGATATTTTGGTTTCCACGCACCAGATTAAACTTTTTAAAAAGTTCAATCACTTAGAATAGTACACATGTTAAGTCGCCTTTAAAAAGACCCTATATCTGGGCAGTGCCTGTGGCTCAAAGGAGTAGGGTACTGACCCCATATGCTGGAGATGGTGGGTTCAAACCCAGCCTTGGCCAAAAAAAAAAAACAAAAAAGAGACTCTATATCTTAAATGGGTTAAGCACTCATTTATAACCATCTTCATGAAATATGGTCACCTCTGGGTTTTTCTGGTTATATCTGAGATTAAACATGGAACCAAATTGCCGTTCACTCAACATATAACTATCTAACCTAATGTGCAAGTCCAGGTTCAGGCAAAGGTCCTGACAGAATTATGTCCTGTCTTTCAATTGCATGCATAGGGCCACTCATCACCCTATATATTCTACCAAGCAACAGCAATTTTTCTACTTCCATTATGGACAGATACACTATGATGTAAAATAGAGGTCCTTCCATAAAATTTAAGATTTAGGGTAGAAAAGACAAAAACTAAATTCTCAAGAAAGCAAAACAATTCCACACTGGTCTTGTACTCCATGAAACCCTGAGATGAACTGTAGTCCTCAACACCTATGCTTGGATGCAGGCCCTCCAGGACACTTCAGTATGCTTCCAACTGGCTCATCATCAACTTCCGGCTGTATTCATAGGCCAAAAATAGTGCCCCATTGGCAGGGAAGGCTCGAATCATAGTAGGCTTCAGTCCAGAATATAAGGCAATTATTCCTAAAAGACAAAAAGGTGATCTATGCTGTGATTAGCCCTTCACTGGGAATATCCCATGCAGTAGCACAGCACAGGTAAACTTATGCATACAAATCCAAACAATACTAAAACCAAGCAATGATGGCAGGACTTGGATTTCCAGGTTTCCCTATAGACTAACAGAAACAAAGACAAGTGGCGAGTGTCCTGGCAAAGTGACTGACTCAAGTAACATATACCACTTCCATGCCTGGTTAACTCCTGGTATAAAGACGGGCTTAGTGGAGGCCTGACAGGGGCAGACAGAGCAAGAAGTGACAGCAGCTTTGCTGTTCACCTGGACAGCAACAAGAACACCAAGCTTGAATTCAGAGACTCATCTCTATCATTAGCATTGGCCAGGGTAGTTACAAAGACTGAAATGGATAAAGGAGGGTCCCTAGGAGAAAGAGGAGCTAGAGACATACACATACCAGCCACTCATGGTGAGACTGGGGAGAGAGGACTCCAGCTACCTCTAGCTGAAGTGTCCTACTCAAAAATACAGTTCTGGGGGCACAGTGAGACAGCAGGGGACTTTAGGAGCCAAGTAGGATGTCAGGAGTGGTGGAAGATTAGCACAGGGGGCAAAGGCCTAGGTGTGTGCAGAGGCAGGCCAGCCCTCTAGCAGAGGGGTAGAGACAGAGAAGGCTTGATCTAAGGTTTTTTTTTTAACTTGGGTAGTCATTGGATCTGCCTTGAGAGACCTGAGTGAGTGAATGAACTTCAACACCCCCCAGCAACGAGGACTGAACCACTAAACAGGGTGGAACCCCCATGGGTTCAACTGCTAGCAGGGCACTGCCATCATGGGAGGGCTGCCTGGTAGGAACAGCCTGCAAGGTCTCAGCACATGGCCAGCTTTGGGGCGAAATGGCCAGCTCCCACACCCCTGGGAAGGCCTCTTTGTGGCTAAGGGGCACTGTTTGGAAGGTTGAGGCAGGGCTCCTAAGAAGTCTGACAAGAGCTTCAGGCTCCTAACCCTGTGGAGACTAAACACTAGTGAAGTGACCAAGACCTGATTTAGGACAAATAAATCAGGAGGACAGGACTAGGTATCCCTAAGAACCTGATTATGGCTTCTGGCTCCTATCTTATACAGCAGAATTAGCATGTGTGTTTTGCATCTCCTAACTTCAATATATTGCAATATATATATGTTTTATTTTTATCCTTTGTTCTTTTATTTTTGTTCTATTTTTTTTCATTTTTACCTTCTTCAATATCAAGGGTTCCATTTTTACTATGGTTTTTTCAGCCCTTTTTTCCCTTATCTATTTTTCTTTTTTTTTCTTTTTGTAGAGATTTTCCTTCTTTTCTCTTCTTTCCCTCATAAATTTCTTAAACAACGAAGATATCTCTCTTTTCCTTTAGGTTTTACATTTACGTTAATTTTGTTTATGTATTTTTATTTCTTTTTTCTGGTCTGTTCAGTTTCATTCTACATTCCATTTATAGGACAGAGCCTTACTCTCAGGCCTGGCCTGGGGTACAAAAGCATTGGTCTGGCTCAAGGAGACCCTGAGCCCCTGGTTTAGGGCACCCCTGTAGCTTTGGCCTTTCAAAGAACTGTACTGGTAGGTCCCCATTGCTGATTTTCTTCTGCATTTGGTAGAGGCAGGATCTTGCTTTTGCTCAGGTTGATAAGGCGTTCCAGACTTCACTAACACATATGAGTCCTGGAACTGCAGGTGTGGGCCAAAGTCCCTTGCTGAATACCACTACTGCTCCTTTCTCCTTCCAGCCCTCTCTCTCCTTTTTTGCATCTTTTCCTTTCACCCATTTTTCCCCCTTTTCACTCTTTTCTCTTCCTTTTGGCCCTATACCAAAAAGCCACTCCAACATCTAAGCACAGAGACAAGAGAAGGACAGGGTCAGAGGAAACAGTAGGGGAAGGAAGTGAACAAGAAAACACACATGAGAGAAACCAACAAAAAAAATTCCGGCTTTTTGTTGATGTTAGTCCCAGCAAAGACTAGGAACGTGCTGGCTATAAATGTCTTCTCTCATTTATCTGAACATGGACTGCTCAGGAAACTTCATATTCTTCATTAAGAGTATCTTTAATTAACTAGGCCAGCCTTTAAAATGATACATTTAAAATAGGTTGTATTTTCTTGTATTGGGTCTGCCTTTTTTTGAATCAAATTGGTAAGAGGAAAGAAGATGCTTAAACTTTGCATCTTAATACAAGTTAAACTTATTTGGATTTAATTTTTCCTTACAAAACCCACATTCACTTGCTTATGTACATAGCAGTTTAGGGAATAATTTGGCAATCTGGTGGTTTTTGAGATTATTGTTCTCCTAAAGTGCCAGTATTTTAAAATAGCATTCTTGAATTTTAAATGCTTTTGTGGAGTGTTGTTTTGTTACAGTTACAATTTTGACTTGGATTCTTTCCATTTGTTTATAAGTCCTACATGATACTAATAAACTAATAATTGCAGAGATTTAAAAAAAAATTCTGTCAACATGAAAAACGTGAAGAGATCAATCCCTCCAAGGGATCACAGGCTACCACAGACGATCCCACTTATAAGGAAGGGTATTTAGAAGATGGATGGCAAAAGCAATGAAGGGAATTGAAGTGAAACTGGGAAATCACCAAAAGGAAATCCAAAAACTGACACAAGAAATGAATGAAAGACACCATGAAATTAGAAAGGCTATATGAGGACCGGACAGGATGGCTCACACCTGTAATTCTAGCACTCTGACAGACTGAGGTAGGTGGACTGTCTGAACTCACAGGTTCGAGACCAGCCTGAGCCAGAGCAAGACCCTGTCTCTAAAAATAATAGCCAGGCATTGTGGTGAGCACCTGTACTCCTGGCTACCTGGGAGGCTGAGGCAAGAGAATTGCTTATGCCCAAGAGTTAGCTGTGAGCTATGACGCCACAGCACTTTGAAGGCAACAAAGTGAGACTCTGTCTAAAAAAAAAAAACGGAAAGGATATATTGGAGCTTAAGGAATTGAGAGAAACCTCAGGGGACTTAAATGTGCAGTAGAAACTATCAATAACAGATTAGACCATGGAGAAGAAAGAATCTTAGAGCCAGAGGATAAGGCTCTTGAGCTAAGAGAGACATTTAAAGAAGCAGAAGAGAAAGCAGAATGTTCACTGAGAGAATTATGTGACTTCATGAAGCATTCAAACACAAGAATTATAAGTATCCATGAAGGGAAAGAAGAATGGAAACCCTACTGGAAAATATCAAACAAAAATGTCCCAAGAAGCACCAAAGATTCTGACATACTCCTTTCAGGGCATATCAAACCCCAGTTCATAACAGCAAAACAGAGCATGTGCAAGATACATTTTAGTGAACCTGGCCAATGTCTAAACAAAAGAGAAAAATTTGCAAAAATACAGGAATAAGCACCAATTGATCTACAGGGGCAGATCCATGATGGTGGCAGCAGAGTTTTCAGATGACACATTTCAAGCCAGAAGAAAATAGTAATCTACCTTTAAAACTCACAAACAAAACAATTTTCAGCCCCGGATTCTGCATACTGCTAAACCAAACTTTAAATTCAACAGAGAAATCAAATCTTTTACTGACATGCAAACAATGAAGAAATTCACCACAAGAGGACCAGTTCTGCAGGAAGTACTCAGACCCATTCTCTATACTCACCACTACAATGGAGCACCAGCAAAGTAAACACCCAGAAACTAAAGGACAAAACATAGCTTCCACAGTAGCAAAGGATAAAACTAAGTAACAGACATTCACAAAATAAAATGAACAGAACTCAAACATACGTTATCAATTCTCTCAATAAACATGAACAGCTTTAATTCTCTACTGGTTGGAGGCACAGGTTGGACTGAATAAAAAAGCACAAGACATCTGTATCCTGTCTTCAGGAAATGCATCTAACCTCAAAGGACAAAACAAGATTTAGGGTGAAGGGTTGGAAAACAGTATTTCAAGCAAATGGAAATCAGAAGAAAGGAGGGGTTTGCAATCTTATTTTCAGATCCAAGTAGATTTAAAGCAACTAAAGTTAAGAAAGACAAACATGGTCACTACATACTGGTCAAGAGAAAATACAACAAGAGGACATTTCAATTCTAAATATTTATGTACCCAACTTAAATCCTCCCAGATTCATAAAAACTCTAATTGATCTGAACAATGTGATATCCTACAACATCATAATAGCTAGAGAATTTAACACCACAAAGACAGAACTGGACAGATGCTCTAAACAGAAACTAAACAAAGAAACAAGAAACTTAAATGCAACCACAGAACAACTGTGCTTAATAGACATATACAGACAATGTATCATCCCAAAGCTAATCAATATATATATATATATATATATATATATATATATGTTCTCTTCTGATCATATCCTAGGACATAAATCAAACTTCAACAAAATTAAAATAACTGAAATTATACCTTGCATCTTTTCAGGCCACAAGGCAATAAAGATGGAACTCCAACAAAAAGTTTTACCCCCACACAAAGGTATGGATGCTAAATAACCTTCGGCTGAATGACAACTGAGTCAAAGAGGAGCCAAAGGAAGAAATCATTAGATTGCTCAAACATGACAACAAACCCACATGCTACCAAAACTTGTGAGATATTGCAAAAGCAGTCCTAAGAGGGAAATTTATTGCATTAGATACCTACATCTGACAAACAGAAACAGAGTACATCAAATCATCTCAAGAAAATGGAAAAAGAGCAATCCAATCCCAAACCTAGCAGAAGAAAAGAAATAATCAAAATTAAATCAGAAATAAGTGAAGTTGAAAACAAAGTCATTCAGAAACTAATGAAACAAAAAGTTCTTTGAAAAGTTAAATAAAACTGATTAACCTTTAGCCAGATTAATTAGAAACAGAAATGTAAGACCTCTAACAACCTTAATCTGAAACAAAAAAAGGGGAAATAGTAATAGATACCACAGAGATACAAACGATTAACTCTACTACAAAAAACTCTATGCCCAG